ATTATTTAAATTATTTGAATTATCTGAATTTTTTATATAATTCAAATAATTCAAATAATTTAAACCCAGGCCTCCATTTGGATTATTTAAATAATTTAAATAATTTCAATAATTTAAATAATTCAAATAATTTAAATAATTCAAATCCAGGTCTCCATTTAAAATATTTGAAGTATTTAACTTGTTTGAATTTTTTGAATTATTTAAATAATTCAAATATTTCAAATAGATCAAATAATGTAAAAGGAGGCCAGGATTTCAATTATTTACATTATTTTCGCGGATTTAAATAATTCAAATAATTTAAATGGAGGCCTAGATTTGTATTATTTGAATTATTTACATTATTTGAGTTATTTAAATCCGCGAAAATAAATTAAATAATTCAAATCCTGGCCTCCTTTTACATTATTTAAATTATTTGAATTTTTTAAATAATTCAAAAAATCAAATAATTCGAATAATTCAAATATTTTAATTATTTGAATTATTTGAATTCTCGGGTCTCCAAAATAATTCAAATAATTGAATTATTTAAATTATTTGAACTATTTGAATTATTTAAATTATTCAATTTATTTATATATTAGCTAATTTAAACAGGACGTCAAATAGACCCTAAAGGTATCTCGATCATATATATATATATGTATATGTCGAGCTTCCATCATGCTCATAATATTATACCTGTGAAGCCTTTCGTCTAAGTAGGACATGCTGGATGGCCAGAGGAGCCCCTTGAGGATGAGCATCTCCTACGATTGATGCGAATCCGAGCTTAGGATTTGGGGTTTAGAATAGCACGAGCTGGATTTTGAATGTCAACAGCACTGCAGCGTCGGCAACTGCATGCGTCAGGCCTATGTGCGGGAAGTGCGCGTAATCCGAGTAGTAGTACCTGGCAGCAGATAGCACCAACTACTTATCCCTCACTGGCAGGTGCTGCATCTTTATGTAGAAAATTTTGTAGACGCTCACATAGGCACATGTCTTCATGTGGGTTGAGAAGTGGTAGCAGACGCTCTCTTAATAGTTGCTTGCCCAATGATGCCAGTGGTTCCAGTGGTGCAAAGTTCGCGGGCTCTCCAAAGCTGCATTGAAGCTCGTCGGATACGTACCTCGGCTTAGGCCTAGGTTTACTGAGTCTCCTCGGCCACAGGAGGTTCACCTTGTAATTACTCAATCAATTCCTCACAGGGAACATTCAGCATGAGCGGGCGTGGGCAGGTTAACTTTGGGTAAAACTGGTCAACCACCAGGGGCTACTTGGAGGGTCGGAGGCTTTAGATATTAGGCTGATGAAAGGAGAAACTGCGGCTGCATAATAATCCACCATACCCTTTCTTCAAAACAATTTAGGGTCCTCGTTCTTTTTGATTATTATCATTTTATAGGGTTTCTGGGCGTTATCGATGATTTCCTGTCTTTGGCTTTTGGGACTCTCGGCACCATTTGGACCAATGTTCACAACCCCCAACTGTGGTCATTATGTGGCTCGTGGGGCGCGCTCAACCAGATCCCCGCCCCTAAACTCTATTATGGTAGGGGTTCGAAGTTAGAAGTACGCTGACACACTCCAGGTCCTGTTTGACCCTCCAAGTGTACGCGAGCCAGTCCTGAATTCCAAGCCCCAAACCCTTTAGCAGGACCAACCCCTGCTACCATTTGAAATAAGCCCCTAGAACCACTTGAAAGCGGCTCGACCCTTAGAACCCATTCAAGCCGTTGTCTGAACCCCGAGTATCCACCTTTATACCCCCATAGCAGTCTCCTATATAATCCCCTACAAAACCTCCTTGAAGGAGTTTAGACCCTTAACCCTAAACTAACCCCATATCACCCTGTATACATACCTTTTTTGCCCTCTCACGCGGTATCGCTCAGCACCTCTGGCAGACCTCTTCGCTCTGCCACGGCATGCACCGCCCGGAGACGGGTGACCCCGCCTGGCGCTGGAAAAGTAAAGGGGGTGTATGGTTTAGGCTCTAAAAAGGAAGGGTTTGGGTTCAGGGGATATAGAGTTTAGGGATGTTACCCTATTAATGGATCATCAAATGGAAGAGCGCAAGGAACATGGTATACAGCTGTCTAGACGGGTCTTGAAAGGGGTTATCCTGAATGATTGCCAACATCATGCTGATATTTATTTGAGGCACCTTGTACCGTAATCATGTGAGGAATCTGGAACCATAATATTGATAAAGATTTAGGCCCCTACATGACAAGGGCAGTTCAGCGTTGGACTTTGCGGCGTTGGACTTCAGGATTCCTGGCTTACTGTTTGGAATCTTCAGTGCTCAGGATCTTGGAGTTTAGGAAGTCAGGATCTTGGAGTTTAGGAAGTTGAGGTTTGGGGTGTGTTTGGGGTTCAGGGTTTAGGGTAAACACTACGTAAATCCTAAATAGGGAGTTTAGCGTTTAGGGTTCGGGTCGTCCGTAAGCCTAAACCCCAGTTTAGATCTTAGGGTGTAGGGCCGACATGGGTGCTTCTCACAAAGGCCCTACTGGAACTATGTAGAGTAAAGTACCATCGCTTAGGTGGACCCCCCACCCATTAATAGTGACTACAAGGGATAATAGGGATTGTATTAGGGTACTTGTATATATTCCTACTATACCACTATTACAGGGTGGGGGCTCCTCCTAAACCATCGCGTTGAAGATGGGGGTGCGCAACATCACACTGAAGAAAACCTGAGGCGTGTCACTAAAGCCTCCAGTACCATGCGCGACATGCAGGTTATCAGTGCCGACTGGAGGAATGGATCCTTGTAGCAGCCCTAAACTAAACCCCGAACCCTAAACCCCGTCTATCGCCAAGAAGAAATATAGTCTCCCTTTAGTAGTCAGAATATGGGGTATATGGGGATCTTACTCTAATATACCCAAAGCATATTCTTTCTAAAGGGGGACTATATTTCTTTGAGCCCGTGCATCCCTCGATAAGTGGTCTGCAGTACACCCAATCTCTCCTCGGAAAGCTTACACCACCTCAACAATTCAAACCCCAGACCACGAACCCGGTTTAGGGTTTAGGGTTAATCTTAGCTATCAGGACCTGAGCCCTAAACCCTAAACCGCAACCACCCCCCCTCCAAAAAAAAACCTTCCAACCCCACTGATCTAGGACAGCCACCATCGCTGCAAGCCCAGATTGCCGAGCCTTGCCGGTCCATTGGGGGCTGAGGGCTTTGGGTTCAGGATTTAGGGTTTAGGGCGAAGGGTTGAGGGTTTAGAACTTAGGGTTTAGGGCTGGCATTTGAATTTGTTTTCTCCAATTTTGGTGGCTTGGGGGACCTTAGCAAAATACAGAGACCATCATGGTTAACGGGGTCGTGGAATTGAGGATAGTCTATTTGAAGCCCTTCTTTCTTGCCCTGTCCTGAGGTGGTTCTAACGAAGTTCTACTCGGGCTACCCTAAACCCTAAATCCTTGTAGGCTTGCTGCAACCGAAAGTGTGGTGCGGATTTAGGGTTTAGGGTGTAATAGGGTTTAGGGCTGCTCAAATTTCTTACCGATGTACAGAGCTCTTCATTTTACCTGAGCATATGAGAAGCCTGACAGGTTCTCTACAAGGCCTCTGAGCAATGCTCCCCTTCACTAAACTGGTAAAGACCTTGCTTGTGACACGGCCCTTGCAAAACAAAACGCCCCGCTCAGCATGTGCAGGAGCCTCCTTCGCCCTGAAACCCAAGCCCCTAACCCCTTGACACCCCCCCGAACCCAACAACAACCCCTGCAACCTAATCCTTATATACATGCACCCTGCAGGCCATATATGTGGCAGGATTCTTACTTCCGCCCTCCCCATTCGGACACTCAGCAAATACCTTCACGAATATTCCTAGACCCCTAAACCCGACACCCTAAAACCCTAAACCCTAATCCCAAAACTACACCCTTAAATATTTGGGACCCCCCTAAACCCTAACTGGGATGAAGTGGTGCCTTGGCCGGTGACGCGCTGCCACGGCCCAGGGCCCGCCGCTATGTCGTAGCAGAGACAAGGCTCCTGGAACTTTGGGATTTTTCGGAAGTTTTACGGTTCAGGGGGTTTAGGGTTTAGGGTGTCTCACTGAGGGGCTGCGCTGGTGCTGGAAGTACCCAGGCGCGCACCCCGACCGGCATGAACCCGCCCCCGCTGGCCCTCCACCCTCGCCTTGACCTTCACGGGTCTAGGGTTCTCTCGAACTCTGATCGCGCTCCTGTCTCTTGTTTTCTTCAGGTGGAGGGGTCTAGCCAGATGCCTCCATTCGTGAACTAGTGACCCTGTCTAGACCAGGCGGGTGCAGGGTTTGGGCTGGGTCTGGCGCGAGGTCATGTGATTGCGAGATGAAGCTTTGGTCAAGCCTTCAACGGCTTAGGCCTGTTTGGAGCACGCCGGTGCAGGGTTTGGATTTGCGTCTTCCTCGAGGCCTGTAGTTGCTGCTGATCAACGCTTGAGTCACTTAATGGCCTGTCCAGACCGGCGGGTACAAGGTTTGGGTCTGGGTCTGGCTCGAGGCCTCTAGCTCTCTTCAGCCAGCCTGCCAAAGAAAATAAGCTTCTGGGACGATAACCACTCATTGCTCAGCTCGCGAAGGAAAGGCTTGAATGATCCATTGGGAGCCCTGAAGGCTGGCCCTGAAGGAGGCAAATGCTGGGAGGCTTGCTTGAAGCTTTGGGGGGCTTTGGCAATGCCTGGAAGCTTTGAGAGGCTTGGGAGATCTTGGATCCTGGAAGGAGGTTGCCTGCAAGCCGACTGAACCTGGAGGCCTTGTAAGGTTCTGGGCTCAAGGCAAAAGGTTTGGGAGCCTGAGCCGCGGATTGGGAGGCCCTTTTGAGCCGCTTTTCAAGCTGTTGCCTCCTCTGCGAGGCGGAGGTTGGCTGGAAAAGAAGGCCTGAGGGGGGGCCGGGAGGCTCACCTGCAAAGCTCAAAAAGAGGACGTCGACCTGGGGGAAGGTTTGGGGTGCCGCGTTCTAAGGCTTTGGGTACGGAGCTCCCTCGCCTGCCGGCTTCGGTGCGTTCGCCCTGCTCAACGGCCCCGGGCTCACTCAGTTTAGGGTGAAGGGGCCCATATTTACTAAGAACCAACTTTTGGATATGGGGGTGTTAGGATTCAGGTTTAGGGTTAAGGGGCCCATGTTTACTGAGAACCTACTTCTGGATTTCAGGGTTTTAGGTTTTAGGGTTCAGGGTTTAGGGGCCCCAGATATATATATATATATATG